TGAATAATTCAATGAAATTGAATAATGAAATTATTTTCATTGCTACTTCATAACTGTGATTTTGCTACTGCAATGAATTATAATGTAAATATCTGATATGCAGGATGTATTTTCACTGGTCATGATCCACAGGTTGAGAACCACTGACCTAACTGGTTTGGAACAGGAGGCAGCCAATAGTGGAAAGTTTGGGTGATAAGATCTAGCCAAAGGAAAAGGATAGCACCCATCAGTGCAAGATGGAAGAGAAGGCCCCCATTTACTGGGGTAAGAAAAAGCTGTGGTTCCTCGGGCATATTAAGTGTCTGGAGGAAATTCCATTTGGGGGTAATGCGATGTCTCAATTTCCTCCCGTTCTGTCCTAGCTAGCTTCAGGAACAGGGTGGAATTGGCCTGGACATGCAGGAATCACTGCCATTGCTCTTACCCAGGTGGCACTGCCTTCCTCAAAGTCAAGCCCTCCATTGTAATACACATTAGTGGTGGGTGTGGAAGTGATAAATAACACACATTTGTAGTTGTCTGTTTGTTTCATAATCCATCATAGTCATCCTGGGCTAGGCGATTTCTCATGCTTTGTTGCAGTTAACTTCTACAACTCCCTGGGAATATTTAGAATTTGGAAACATAATATTTCAGTGTTTGTTGTCTGGTTGCTGAAAAGGTACTTTATGAGGAGAAAGGATTTTTAAACTCCTGAAGAAACTAAACCATCTGTAAATTGGCCCAGACTTTGGTGAGTCTCTCGAAATGATTCAGATGCATGCTCTTGAATTCTGAAACAAACACAAGATGAATAAACCTCCACTCTTGTGACAACTATGCCCAATTCTACCGTTTGATCTCACCATCAAAGTGAGATTCACAAAGTTTGGTTGTTTTACAAATTCACTTAAATGAGTTTCAAGATTTGTTTGTGTTTTACACTACTGAATCGAGGTCCAGGTGCCATGTGTTATGGCAAATGTTATTAAGCCAGAGTTTATTCAAAAGTATAGGACGCAAATGTCTTGGAAAGCCTGTCTTGTGAGGGCCGATTTAAAGGAACCAGTGAGATTTAAGCTGAGGAGAAAGGCCTAGAGAGTACAACAGAGCTGTCTTCATGAACAGTTAACAAAGGCAACAGTAACATCACATATACACCCCTTTTAGAGGAAATTATTCTTTCCACCTTTTAAGGACCCTTCATGTTTGTGGTGGTTTATTTTCATATGGACCAGCCAGCATATGGACAAACGGACTCTAACTTATTCTTGTGTTCTAGTGGCATAACATATGATTTCTTTCAAGCATTGTAAGAAGGGGAATAGAAACCATCATATATGAAGCTTATATTACAGAACAGCAATTTCTTAGAATTGTTTGGAAGTTGGAGTAATAAGGATGCGTCGGAAGTCCTGTTTATGGTACAAATATTGAGTTAAAACACATGGAAATAGCAAGAGGTTCCAAAGTCTGTCTTGTATATCCCACCCAAATGTCTTTGGGTCTCCTCAGATTTATACAGTGTGGGAGTGGGGAGTAAGGAGTGGAGGTTAGTCCTGTCTTGCTCTTTCCTATCCATATACTTTGTCTCCTACAGAGGGCCCCCTGGGGCTGAGCAGAAACAGGCTATGGTAGGTTGTAAGGACAGATGGGGAACTTGAAACAGGTGCTTTGTATGCAAAATTCTTGAGGCTATACTGTCCACTTGACAGAGTTACTTAGTGAAAGTCTCCAGCCTAAGTAGCTAGACTTTTTGCATATTACTGAAAAATCATTTGAAATTCTGATCTCCACTTTTGAAAGCTTACTAGTATAGTCAGCATTTATAAGTTGATATAAGGAGGGAAATAGGTGATATTTTTCCTAATTCAAAAAGGATCTGAAGATCTCTAATATTTAATTACCACAAGAACAGTAAGGTCTTAAATATTACATAAGCAAAGTTAAAATTACTTGTGTAAATATTACGCAAATTAAATATACAAGCAAACAAATGTCTCGTAATAAATATGCAATGAGTATACGCTGTTTCCTCCAACAACAGGTAAACAGTATCATATTACTTAGGTTAAAGGCGCTATAAAAATTGCACATCAAAATTAAAAGAATATCTCTCTGGCAGCTTCTTCCATCCAAATTACTCAATTTTATAATAAGTGTTCGTTTTTGTAGACTCTTCTAAGTTTTTGTTATAACCCCACAACTACATTGTTATTATTTGTGTTTAAATAGTTGTCTTTTTGAGAGATTTAGTAATACATAAAACAGTTAATTCTTACTCATATTATTTTTTCATTCAGTAACCTAAAGAAGATTCTCAACTGTCTTTTTGCCTAATAAGAAATTTGCTGCTATTTTCATCTTTGTTAACACTATACTTGATACTCTTTTATCTCTGGATGATTTTAAGGTTTGTTTTTATCTCTAGTGTTAAGCAATTTTATTGTAATATTCCTTGGTGTAGTTCTCTTTCTGTCTCCTGTGCTTGGGGAGTTTGATGGACTTCTTGAAACAAACTTTTCTTTGAAACAGTTTTCCAAATGCTCCCCTCTTCTTTGGTGCTTTCCAAGTATCTATGTCTTAGGTTACTTAGAGCTATCTCACAGCTCACTGATGCAATTTTCATTTTTAAATTTTTTAAAATCTCCATGTTTCACTTGGGATAGGTTTCTATGGCTGTGTCTTTCCATCACTAATATTTTCTTCTGCAATCTCAAATCCCATCTAGTATAAATTTTACTTGAGATCTTGTCATTTCTATCTCCAGAAGTTGAATTTGGGTCTTTTTTACTATCTTGCATGTCTCCACTTAACATATTTCATTGTTTCTCTAGCTTCTTGAACATATGGATTGGAATCATAGTAAGTGTTTTAATGCCCTTATCTGATAATTCTAACATCTGTGTCAGTTCTAGGTTCAATTTATCGATTTTTCTCCTCATTAGGGATTATATTTTCCTGCTTCTTCTCATGCCTGAAGTTTTTTGCTGGATGCCAAACATTCGGCTTTTACTGTGTGGGTGCTAGGTATTACTATACTCCAGTAAATATTCTTTACCTTGGGCATAAGAAACAAGTTACTTGAAAACAGTTTAATTTGTTCAGATCTTTTAAGACTTGTTAGGTGGGACCAGAGCAGTGGTCATTCTGGGGCTAATTATTCCTGAGGCAAGTCTGAGCACTCTACCCTCTAATGCCCTGTGAGTTATGAGGTTTTGCATTCTGGCCGGTGGGAGAATTCCCTATTCCAGGCCCTGAATGAGTTCCATCTCTGTGCGGCTCCCTCCTCTCCCCTACTCTGCCCCACTCTGGCTGACTCTGTCTTTCTAGATGCCTAGCTCTGTTTCCTCAACTTCAGGAGTCTGCCAGGCTCTCCCTTACTTCCCCTTTCTCATACCAAGGCCTGCAGACTCTCTCAAGGCAGCAAGCTGGGTAGTTACAGGGTTCAACCATTTGTTCCTCACTCTCAGGAATTGCCTTCTTTAATTGCCTGATGACCATTGGTTTGAAAACCTTTTTTTCATGTATCTTGCCTAGTTCTTTAGTTGTTTCAGGTGGGAGAAAATATCTAATCCCTATCTCTCCAGCTTTACAGAAGCAGAAGTCTCGCTGAGGTCTATGGCTAGCAAATATTTTCCATATTTTACTTTTAACAACAGGCAATAGCTAAGTCAAAGACTTTGTTGTCTTGAAATTTTGCTTAAAGTTCCTCTACCTCTCTGGGATTCAGCTATTAAAAAATTTATGTCCTTTAATTTTTAGCTTTAATTATGAGGCTAGGTTAAAGAATATGGGATTTATAATACTTAATTCTCTAAAGTTCTTCTTTCTCCTTACTTTGTCGTCAAGGTGAAGTGGTTGGGATTTGAGCTGGGCCGATCACCTCTGGGACAGTGTGTCTCTTGATGTCTTTGTTCAGACACACAGATAGTTAAGTCTGCCCAGTGCCAGGCCTGTGGGGAGATGGGAGGTGCTTCTTTTGTTAGTAGTGTTATCCTTTGAGTTTGAGTCCAAGAGAGGCTAGAATCCTTTTCCCCCCACTGTACTCTTCCTCACTTAGTCATTCAATCAAAGCCATATCCCCCATTTCTCATGTAGCTACCAGATACCCAACCTTTCTGTTCCTTCAAACCACTTCACTTCCTCACCAATGTCCAGTCTTCCAAGACAAACAGTGCTCCTCTCTCTGCTCCTTGGTGTTCTAAGTAGGTTACATTCCAATCCCCTTCCTCCTAAGAGATTTCTTATTCTCTAGCCTAGACTGTAGTATATGTGAAAGAATTTCTCATTAAATAAGAAAAAAAGAATCCCATAATTTAATCTTTGGCAAGATGAAACTACCTATTTTTCCCCCAACCCACAACACATAACACAATATTTATGTGAGAAGCTACAAACTTAGTATTTCAAGATGCTCATGTTTGCAAAGTCATGACCTGCCCACACATAACATTATTCTTTCTCTGCCTGTTCTAGCCTCTTGTGGTGACAGGGCTGGTCTAAAACATGAGTACAGACTTGTAGTCATATAAATAGTCTACACAAACAGTCTAAGCTAGGAAGGGATTCTTCTCCAAATTTTGTTTAAAAATATACATGTACACACACATACACATGCACACATATAGACACGTATGCGGATATCAATTTTTGTCTTTTGTTTTATTAGTGTGGCATTTAAGACATATGTGTTTCCTTCTGGATTTTCCTCCCCTTAGTAAAGATTCATCTCCCAACCATAATGTTATTTAGTTTTGAGAGATGTTGGTTTTCCTTTCTCTGTTCTGTATTTTATTCTCTTCATGTTTTATTCTTTTTTTGAAGTGATGCAGTTTTACATGAACTCTCTGACAATTGAGAAGAAACCACCCTTTGAGTTCCCTCATTTGTTTATATTTCCATGCAGGGGCATTTGTGGGCACTCTGCAGCATGCCAGGTGCCTGGAGGGCTTGGTCCCAGTCCCGCTGGTGGAACGTTTCTGCTTTACTAACCTCAATGCCTCTTCCTTCCACAGGTACCAGGGTGGACAGAGCCAACAGCTATCAGTCTGACAGCAGCGGGTTCCTGGAGGAGCCCCTGGAGCCACTGCCCTCGCAGGTAGGAGGGTGCAACACGGCCCTCAGTGCCCAGCCTCATGGCCCACTGCAGTCCTATCAACCACCCCGCTGCCCTAACCTCTCTCACAGCTAACTCAGAAAGATAACTTAAAGTGAACGGCTGAGAAGACGCATGCCACATGCACCCCAGGAGTGGGGCATGATGGAGTCCATTAGCAAAGGTGCCAGGAAGCTCAGCCTCCCTTTCCTTTTTATTTTCTTTTGATTTTTCTAAACAAGGAAGCTGGGCCTCATAGAGAGGAGGTCCTAGGTAAAGCAGTCAACTGGTGTAAAGCCTGAGTTATCCCTCTGACTCTTGAATTAATGGCAATGACAAGAAAATATAATCTCCTTAGACCAATTGCCTCTCTCACTTTTGTCCTGGTTTCTCCCACAGGTGCCCTCCTTGCTAAGCAGCCAGAGTGCTCCTGAGAAGGCAGGTGGAAAGGCCAGGGATCCTCCCGGCCAGAGCCTCCTCCCAGAACTTGACTGTCAGCAGGAAGCCGATGAGTCTGACTCCAGGAGTATAGTGAGCACATCGTTTTCAAGCCAGGACTGGAGTGTCCTGGGAGAAAAGGCCTCAATATCTGTAGTGGAGGAGGACTGTCAGCCTGAGGCCATGGAAGGGTCACCAGAGCTGTTGACCCCAGACATGGCCCTTGCCAAGACTTCTGGGGGAGAACCCCTGGGGAAAGACAGCCATCTCTGGCAGCCTCTGCCAACACCCCGCACTGAACACAAGATCACTGGAGGCACCATAACTCCTAAATGTGATCATGCTTTGGAGTTTATGGAGACCCACATCACAAAAATGAAGGACGGGTATCTGAGGCCTGAGGGAGCTGGAGAAGTACACATGCAAAGCCACCACTGCAAGTCTCACAGGTCACCTGGAAATGACCATGCTCAAGGCAAGTGCCCTCACATTGACTCTGAGGCCCCAAGGGAAGAGGAAAGCTATAGACTCTGTCCTGATACTAACAACAATTTACTGACAGAAGAAAGTCCACTCCAGCACATCCCCAAGCACAGTGAAGTCATGCCCTACACGGTTGACCTTGTTCAACCATCTGCAAAATCCATTCCCCACTTCCATAAAGTGCTTGGAGATACAGCCCAACTGAAGCCAAGGTGTAGTGCTTTGGGTCAAATACCACCTAGGGCAGAAGCTGAGATGGGAGCCCTTCCTCCATCTGCTGACTCAAACACTGGCAACTCCAGATCTGTGATGACCCAGATGTCCTCCAATCTGGTGTCAGCTGCTCAGAGTGCTGTGTCCTTGGGGACTCATTTTAGAGGAACATCTTTAGAATATACTATGTGTGACCCTATTGCCACAGGACCAGGTCAGGGGGCAGAAGAAAGACAGATGGAGGATACTTGCATTCAAACGACTGCATGTGAGCCCAGGCCCTGGCATTTCTGTTCAGCCCCAAGAATAAAGACCTTGACACATGGACCCCAGCCCCTCACCAAGTCTGTCTCTCTAGACACAGGCTTCCCTAGTATCTACCCAGCGGGCGTCTGCCACACTGTTCCTGCCCACTGCTGTGCCTGCTGTCATCACCATCCCCACTGCACCCGGGAAACACAAAGCACTGGGCCTGCACCCTGGGTCTGTAGGCCCTGCCTTTACTCACATACTGATCACTCAGAAGACCAGTTTATGAAGACTTTGAAAATCCTTCGGGACACGACAGTGAGGGAGCTGTGTTACGTAAGTGTTCACTTCTGCACAGGTGGGAAGGAGATGTGCAGTGACAGACACCTCAGGAACAGTGTTCATTCTTTTCTGAACATGAGATCTCGAGGCATACCTTTCTGTTTCAAATTACAAGTAACATTTACAGATGCATGTTTATGATATAGTCTTACAAATTTCTTCTTGTTGGATACTTCCAATCAATCACCTTTTGAAGTAAGGAGGGCAAATTTTATTATTAATCCCCGTTTTACAGAAGGGAAAGCTAAGGCACAGAATAATAAATTCATATGTGTAAGGTTATAAACATAAATGTGTCTGTACCTCATGTCCAGTTCAGGCTAGCTGGGAAGTTCTGTGTCTGAAATTCACTCAGCTGCATAATATTACAAAAACCATCTAACCCGTCTGAGCCTGGCTTGTTAAACAGGGGGACTGTTCATGCCACTGACACAGGATTGTTTTGGTGTTAATTCAGATAAACCTAGTAAAGCTCGCAACACACTCAGTCATTCAGCACAGTGTGTGGCACGTAGGAAGCTCTGGGGAATGGTCATTGTGTAGGTGCTACTTTCATTATCAATTTTTGTTACTATTTTAATTATCGTTCAGGCTTTGAACTTACAGCTTCTCATGCCAAACAGAGGGACTTTTGGTCTACTTTTGCTAAGCTTTTGTAAAAGTGGACATTGGGATTGCTGAAAACTAAATGACCCCAGTCTTCTTCAACCCTGAATCAATCAACAAGTATTTAATGAGTCCTTCCAGTGCTCCCTCGTTAGTGGTTCTCAAGGTAAGGAATGATGTAGACCTTCAAGGCTAGCCATTGATTGAAAAGTTGAGCCTATCACACATGAAACTACATGTAGAGAAAGCCAAGAACGTGGGGTGGGTATGGCAGTGTGGACCTGCAACTATTCAAAGGAGAGTAAGGAGGGACCATGATTTACTAAGTACCTACTGTTTCAAATATGTGGGTTACCTTCTCATTCTTTTAATATTTACTGAGTGCCTGTGCTAACCGCTTTATATTATGTCATTTAACCCTCCCTTTCATCCACACCTTAAATATTTATTAGGTCCCTAATATGTGCCAGCTTCTTCCTCTTTTATAGATGAGGAAACTAGAACTGAGAGGGTTCAAATCACTTTCTCTAGTAAATGATAAGTCCAAATTCAAATTCAAATTTGGGGAACACTAAACCCTTGGCCACTACACTTGGCCACAAAGGATCACTACGAAGTGATTCTTTGAAAGATGAAACAAATTACTTCATGATCCTTCAACAGATAGGAATCTACACAAAATGTAATATAAACAAAGCAAGTGATTACATGGAAGGTTAAATAGTTACCGCATCATCTTTTTCAAATTGCAAGACCTTTCAGCTTTGAGAATTTTTTAAAGACAGCCATTAATGAGGTTTGAGCTAGCAAGAGAAGGTTTCATTTAGGCATTAAAATAAATTCTGGATATATTTCCCAAAAGTTTAGTGGAAGAAAAGAAGAAAGGCTAATGTGAAGTTCAAATCCTGGAGAAGGGTAGGATCCTCATCACCCCGCTGCCGCCACCACCATCATCATTATCATCATCATTATTTATTGGGGGATTTTAAATGTTCTAAAGCAGTGGTTTTCAGCTGGGGATAATTTCCTACCTCCCACCACCCCAGGTGACATTTGGCAATGTCTGGAAACATTTTTATCTGGCAGAACTTGGAGGGGGGTGGTTACTACTGGCAACAAGTAGGAAGAGGCCAGGGATGCTGTTAAACATCTGAACAGCCACTATGAGAAAGAATTATTTAGCCCCAAATGTCAATAATGTCAAGGTTGAGAAACCCACCTCTAAGGGAATAAACATTTACTTGATCACATAGTTCATATGGGAAAAATGTTACGGATAAAAGATACTGGAGGAGACATTTGAGAGGGTGTAGAGGAAAAAATGTTAAATCCTAGAATTAGGTGCTCCAGTTTCCATGATGAAAAGTGGGTTGTTGGTCTAACATAGAAATAGATATCCTGAAAGAAGATTATTTTTCTAATTTAAATTTTAAGATAAGCTTTATACAGGTACACAAAATAGACCATAGTATTACATTTTTGTTAGAAATAAGAAAATTATACAAATAAAATTTGTATTAAAAAATCTGAAAAAAAATGGTCCTTCTAGACATGTCCAATGCCATTCTTTTAGTGTAGATCAGACAGGTACTTATTCCATGATAAGATATGATCTAGTTTCTGCTTACATTGCCACTCTTCAAAATAAGATAAGTCATTTACTGGTCGCATTAAGAAGAGAAATAAACATGAATCCATAGACTAAGAAGCTAGAAATCTAGTGCATCAAACTGACTCTGGGAAGCACCATCACTTAATTTGTCCCTCAAAATTATAATCAGGTATCTATGGCAACAGCTGTATCTTGGTGCTCATTTAGTCTATCATTTTTCCAGTGATATGACCACAAATGAAATAGGAATACAGGGTAACACAGCTTCCCGTGGCACAAACTGAAAACATGTCCTACATAATGGGACACAATTAAGATGCCTGTGATAAATTGGCTTAGACATAGCAGGAGCCAGTGTTGGGAGTGGCTAAAGGGTGGGCCTCACTACAGGGGCCAGGAGGGCGTCTAATCCATCAGGCAAACCGTGGTATCCAGAGGTCACCTGCTGGAGCAGGTCAATAGCACAGCCGAGTAAGGCTGTCAGTGTGAGAAGTTTGGCAGTCTGAGTTTGGAGGTGTCCTTGTGAACTTGTGTGGTTGTGGGGATCGAAAGAGCATGTGGCATCAGGCACCTGGAGCAGATTAGCGGGTAGAAGGACTCCAGCTTCTTCAGGAAGGCAAACTGGATAGATCGAGAAACCACCCTGAAGACACTTGGGCACAGCAGTGCAGAGCCAGGTACAGGTGCAAACACTGTTTAAACTGGGGACAGAAGAGAACACCCGGAGGGTGGACCTGACCGGAGCTCTTCCACTCCTCCCGCCTCATGCTGAGAGAGGGCTGTGGGCCTGAGAAGCCCCAGCTGTGTGGGGAGATTTGGCATCTAGAAGTCGATGTTCTTTCTGATTTGACACTTTAACATATCAACATCCCTTCTGCAGAAAATAGAAAAGATTTTGTGGCCCATTATGCACAAAGACCATCCTCAGACTTTTGTGTAGATTTAAATGGGCAGGGGATTGAGAGTGTGATGGCCACCGTTTCATGGCTTCTGATACCTTCCTTGTTTCATATTGCCTCTGCCTTCTCTTAGGATTTACAACTTTACAAAAAGGAGGAATTTTTATATCAAATTGATTTGGCAATATGCACCTGCTAAAGCAGACACTACATAGGTTTTCATAGATTTCATAGATGCATTCACATGCATTTCTTTTTATTTAGACCCAAAGAACCAGAAATATACAGCCCAAGGAAACAATCAAAACACAAACACACACGTATACATGCATGTCACATGCGTATTTGCCTTCATATGCAGGCGTACACATGTGCACATGCTCACATGCAGGAAAGCACGTGGGAATAAGGGATTGCATTCCCCATGGGAGGAGGCTACTTATAGAAATGTAAAGAACAAAGAGAAAAAGGTCAGTCCATGCCTTAGTGTCTACTGTGAGTGAGCTTGGGTTTATAAGGCCTAAAGAGTGTTCTGGAGAAAAATGGCTTTAAGTTAGATGCTAGATACTAGCTGGAGTTAGAAAAAAAGTATTTATAATAAAATTAACAGGAAATAGGTTAAAGATGGATGACAGCTCTTACATAAGAATAGGAGTTCAAACAGATGTTGAAACTAAGGGTAATTTTAAGTAAAAGACTTGAAGACTCACAAGAACATCCTCACCTTCCTCCCTTTACATAGAGATGTGACATTGCAGAAAAACGCTTGGCTGGCTTATTGGTCAGAACCAACTTTGTTGTCTGTGGGTTATCGAAGATAATGGTTTGTTGATATAATTAAATGCTTACAGATAAGCGAATCCCTCGGAATAATTTGTTAATTTCTAAAAAGTGTTAATTTTTTAAAAAGGGTTAATTAAAAAAATCTTTTCAAGAGATAATAAGTTGTGTCAGAACTAAGATTTCAGAATAGTAAAAATTCTTCTATGATGTTTATGATTTAGGTTTAAAGAAAAAGGAAAACATGCAATTTTACAAAGTAGTATGAGCCAATTCAAAAGTAAAAGTTTATTGCTTTTGAATTGATGGTGTTTTAATAGGTTTGGGTAGAGAGGTTCTTGCGTTATATTTGGGTTCTAATCAAGCCTTTATGTTGGAAAAAAAGAGTTCAAAACATCTTTTTTTATTTCAAAATACTAGGGTGGTACAAATGTTTTTATTACATGGATACGTGCACAATGCTTACGTCAAGGACTTTGGTGCCCCCATCACCAGAGTAGTGTTCACTGTACCCCCTAGGTATGTTATCATCCCACACCTCCCTTTCCACCCTCCCCCTTCTTAGTTTCCAATGACTTTTACATTTCTTTGTGCCCATGGGTGCCCATTGTTTAGCTCCCACTCATAGTAGGAACATGTGGTGTTCCAGTTTCCATTCCAGAGATACTTTGCTTAGCATAGTGGCCTTCAGTTCCACCCAAGGTTATGCAAATGATGTTATTCAATTAATTTTTACTTTTCTTATCTAGAGTTTTCTGAAATGATCTCTATACCTATTCTACAGCTAAAATATATTTTTCATATTTCCAAATGACCAGAAGATGGCATCGTTTAAGAATCTTCCACTTACTTCCTTCTCAGACAGCAAATATTCCATCAATTATTCCCCAATTCAGCCCCACTCCTACTTTTCTATATCCCCCAAATAACTACTTGAGCATGAAATTCAATGTGTATAATGTTCAGCATAACTGAGCAACACACTTCCAGGACCCTGGCATTGCTGTCCCTATGCCCTTGAAGGGAATTTGAGCCAGTTGTTTGCTCTTGATTACCTTATAGGAATCTACTAGAAACTCAAACAGCTCACTCCTGAAGGAAAAATAACTTCTGCATGTGTCCAGCTACACTATGACTCAGATCTTGGAAGAGAAGAAATGAACCATGAAACTTGGGTTTGAAATCTGGCTGCCATTTTTTGACTGCAGACAAGTTAACTAAGCGTTTTTGGTCAGAGCACTTATTTATGTAAGAAGCCCTTCATGGTGTGGTCTCCAGTATTTTTTCTAGTTTTAGGAGCCATAATCCAGTCCTCTTTCAAGCACTCTTGCCAAGATCAGAGTCCTCTAGCTGGTTCACTCACACCAATGCAAAAGTAGTTGGAGAGTGTTACTATACACAATGTTATTCAGCAAAAAAATTAGACAATAGAATCAAAGCCAAACGCTCAAAGCAAAATGATGGAAAGTTTTTATTATAAAAATATTACTCTTAGGAAAGTATTTTTGTTATGGCATTTCTGATAAAAATAGCCATCAGGCTGCCAAGATCTTGGCTATGGGGTTTTGGGAAGAAGGGTAAGAAATCTGGGACTTCTTAAAAATGGGGCTGGAGAAATTAATGGAGATGCATGGCCAGTCTCTGGAAGAAGGAAGAAGAAAAGGCTAAAGGGGACATCAGCTTTTGTTAAAGGGCTTCAGTGACATCGACGGCCTAAACAATGATTCATGCTTCCATCTTGTTGGCCATTCTAACTGCAAGGGATGCTGGAAAATATATTTTTGTATCCAGACGGGTTGATCCCTCTAAATTCTATTAGCAAGAATAAAGGGGAGAAAGATAGTGCCGTACTGATCTGAAAGGGGGTCCAAACAGGCGGGCCTGATGTTCAGAGATGGCTTTAGAGTCTGACAAGCATTGATTAATATCCCTCAAAGTCAGATGGGTAGTGACCCTGGGGTTCTGGATCATGGATCTATTGAAAGCATGATCCAAACTAGGCTTCAAAATAAGATGGTAAGCAGACCATCAGCATGCCCAAGAAATGGACTGGGCCCGGATGTCGAAGATAAACAGCAGAAAGTTGGTTAAAGCAGTGAAAATAGATTTGTTCAGCAACTACTGACAGTAGGGAAGAAAGCTGAGCTCCAGCCTGATTTGTACAGATGTGATTTGGGCATTTTAAAGAGATAATGAGGGAGAGTGGAAAGCAAGACTCAGCAGAGTCAGAGAAGCAGAAAAATTACAAAGGGTTATGCCATATATGTGCCATTAGGCCAGCTGTGTTTGTTAGCTGTCAATTATGAAAGATGCTACCTCTCCACAGACTGGGAGACAGAGTCTGTAGTCTTCCAGATGATTGCATTTCAAAGGCATGGCTCTCAGGTCCTTGAGGGAGGGAATTCTGAATTGTAAGAGATACATAGCCACAACTGTAGGCCTCTGTTAGTAAACACTCTAATAAAGGACGGAAGTCTATGTCAGGTGTTGGCTAAAGCAAATAGTACATTTTCTATTGTACTGAAAGTGTTGAACTTTCTCAGACAGGGTGGAGTTAGGATCATCTGGGGACAAAGGCTTGTGCTACTGGAGGCCATGGTAGAGTCTGGCCAAGTCTCTTAGTGCAGGAGCTGTTACATGTGTAGAGTTCTAAAGTTTCCAGAGGCTGCAAGAATGTTTAAATTAGGAAACCAAGGCAAAAGCAGTCCTAGAGAGGAAGTAAGCTTTATAAGATGACTCAGAGCAGGAGCAATGAGGAGCAGAATTAAGAGGGTAGATTGAGTTCAATTTTCAATTCTAACTCCTGAAAAGGGTAGGATGCCTAACCTTTGCCTGCCTTACTCTGGATGGGCTTGTTAGCTGAGTGGAGCTGATCCTACAGATTGCAACATCCAGGGACTGTGGCTGATTAGGGCTAATACTAATAAAAAATATTCTAAGCATGTTTTTTTAATCAAACACACACCACCTGAACTGACATGTTCAATGTTACTGACACCCAGAATGAGGCAGAACTTAGCTCCAAAGCCAAACAAGACTCAACTTTGCTAAGCACAAGCCCTCACTCCAACCTGCCATTCCTCCTCTCTTCTGTCTACACTCTCACATCCCTATGTCACCTAGCCCTCCAGACTGCCGTTCAGTATCTGGGACATAATGATCATCATCCTGCAACTGCTGTCCTCCTGTCCCAGCCAAATACTACATCTAGTTGCTTTAAGAACTCGAAGGCTGGGCTCTCCCTATTCTCTATTCTTGCACATTGGTAGTAAGACATCTTTGCGAACAGGTGAGTTGACACGACAAAGCAGTCTCCACTGCAGTGAGCTCTTGCAATGAATCAGAAAGGACTTCCTTCTCAGTTTTTTCTAATTGTTCCTAGTGCACAGTCCATGAGATGGAAGCCATGAAGATGGTTTGCCAGAGTTTCCGGGAGCATTTAGAGGAAATTGAACAGCACCTTATGGGACAGCAGGCACTCTTTTCCAGCGCTATGTCTGAGGAGGAAAGGTAATTATCTAAGGGAGCCATAAAAGTACCACCTCACACACCTGGAGCAAGGAAGGTAATCAGGGCAGGACAGATGAGCACCCTGGAGCAGGGCTAATGAGAAATCCAGGCTTTTCCTTTGCTTTCATGGTCTTGTTCTTGCTTTCTCAGTGGGAGTCTCTAAGAGCCATTTGCTAGACAGGAACATTTAGTCTTTAAGGCTGGGGCTGTTTGAGAAGGTCAGAAGAGGGGCAGTCAGTGGTGTTGCCGAGCAGGATGTTAAAGAATCAATGTGAATGGGGCTCATGCAAGTGCAAATGTTGGGAGTTCTTAGACTTTTGAAAATCTACATTATTTTCACATAGATTGCAACATGTCGCCAAACTAGATTAGTTGTCCATTGCCTGGGGTAAGGGATGGGAATCCATTTAACTATAAAGGGGCACAGTGGTTCTTACTGGGGAGATTTGTGCCAAATCTAAAACTGGATTGTGCTGATGATACAACTTGGCAAATTATTTTAAAATTCATTTAAATGTACTTTTAATATGGGTGAACTTTATGACACATAAGTTGTACTACAATAGAGTTATTTTAAGAAAAGATAAATTGGCTCAGCGCCTGTGGCTCAAGTGGCTAAGGTGCCAGCCATATACACCTAAGGTAGCAGGTTTGAATCCAGCCCAGGCCCGCCAAAAACAACAATGATGGCTGCAACCAAAAAATAGCTGGGCATTGTGGCGGGCACCCGTGGTCCCAACTACTTGGAAGGCTTAGGCAGGAGACTTGCTTGAGCCCAAGAGTTGGAGGTTGCTGTGAGCTGTGATGCCATAGCACTTTACTCAGGGGGATAGCTTGAAGCTCTGTCTCAAAAAAAAAAAAGAAAGAAAAGAAAAGGAAAGATAAACTGTCCTACTAATGCACCTGCAAGGCCTAACAATTAAGTTAGCAAACTCATTCTAAAAAATGTGCTATGTACATCATTGCTGAATATCACTATAGTGACCTTTGAAGTACTCTCCTCAGGAATCTATGCACAGATGCCAGCATCTAGTCTACCCTTCAATGAAATTTTGGAACTCTTTTTCTGGAATGACCATCAGAGCTGTTGTTATATGATAGTCTGAAAAGTTTGTGAACTTGCCATTGTGTGCTTACTTTTGTAGCCCTGTCCAAACGACTCAACTCGGCAAGGTTTCATAACCATGGTATGTCAGTGTCTCAGCTGTGTTTGGGTCACCATACAGTGGTGTCTTACTAAGTAGTGTGCATTATTACTGTTGTTGCGTGTTTTTGTGTGCCATACAATGACCGCTCTGATGGTCATTCCAGAAAAAGTTCCAGAATTGCTTTGAAGGGTGGACTAGGCACTAGTGTCAGTGCACAGCTTCCCCAGAGGAGTGCTTTCATGACTTTGTGAAATTAATATATGTTGGTGAACTTGTATGCCTGCAACTGATACAAATAAAGAGTGTGACTTTCTGTCTTAAGAAATTTCGAAGGAAAAAACCTATACTATGAGGGAGACAATGGAACATTGTACCTGAGGGTGACTGTTAATTTTTTTTTCTCTTGCAGGGAAGAGGCCAACCAACTACAGACTTTACGTGAGGCCCTGAGGCAGCAGGTGGCCCAGCTAGAGTTTCAGTTAGGAGATCGGGCCCGGCAAATCAGAGAAGGGATTCTGCTGGTATGGATATTGGGGTGTGGAGTTTGGCTGTATCCAGCCCCCCATAGGAGGGGCACATTAAATGAGAAAAATACTTGCATAGTCATTTTAGATTCCAGGGTTATGTGCCATCCCTTCATTTTAAATATACAGAGAAGTACTTTGGTTTGTTCATGTCTGCACAGCTGATGGTGATCCAGGATTAGAATTCAGTTCACCTAACTGTTATGCCTATCTTCCCTTGCTCCATAAATAAGAGAGAAGTACTACTAACCTATTTTCCAAATGAGAACAAGAATCACAGGCACGATGAAGCTTATCTCTGGAGCCTATGCCACAATCTGCCACTGACTTAAAGAGCCCAGTTTCCCATCTCAGAGTGCCTTGTTCACAAGTCTGAGTTGGCTGCTTTTTGCAACTATGGTATGTTGTCTACCCTTTTTTGTTCTTGTTTTCCTTTTAGCAGCTGGAGCTTCTCACAGAACCACCTGAACACCATACAAATCTCCAATATAACTGGACAAAAGAAAAAAATATCCAGCCTTCCATAGCCCTTGGAGCTCTCCATTCTCCCATCAATGACCAGCATGCTCTCTGCTCAGGTGGGACCCCACCTGCTGCCTTCGGACCACCCACTGTGGAGAACAGCACCAGGACGTCTCCTGCACCACCTCCTCAAGCAGAGTTAGGTCCAGTCCCTTCACCACACTGTCCTGTTGGAGAAGAGGATATAAATATCTTCTTCTAAACCCAAGCAGTTTGGTAACATACATGTAAAATATAAGAGCCCAGACCAGCTGTAGCAAGGAAAAAAAAATCTAATTTTTTTCCAAAGAGAAGAATGTACCAACTTTTTATCAGCTATTTTTTTCATATTATTAAAGGGAATGGTCTTACTAAAATATCAGGAAAAATATAAATAACATAAAAATTACTTCACTCATAATTTCTCAGTAAGGGCTAATATCAATCATATGATCCCTCTCCCTCTCCCTCCCCCTCCCTCAATGACAGGCACCATGTGGGGGTTCTGTTTTCACAACGTCTGAAAAGAGCTAAACAGAAAGAAAGAAAATATAAATCTTTCTCTTTTAAAACTGCTTCTGAGAATCTGCTTTATAGCTTTGAAAAATTGTTGGACAGACAGAGGGAGATGTGATCCACAACCTTTAGTTCCTACCCCAGACCATATCACGAGGGCAGAATCACTGCCAAGATCACAGTCACCAGTGATAAGCTTGTCTTCAAAGGGAAGGCAGCTGATTCCTGTCATCAGCTTGCTGGTAAGAAGAGAGAAGATGCAGCTGGAGCAGTTTATAATACTTTGTTAATTTGGCTGCAGCCATAAATCTTCATCCCTTAAATAAAAAGTCTGAGTACCTGGTTTTCTCTGCCAACTCTATGTCCCTCTCTTTCACTTCTGTGTTGGCCCTTTTTCCATCAGAAAAAGTAAAATAAACTTTTTCTTCTTTCTTTGTCTGGAGAAATGCTTCTCAAAATCTTCATTCACTAGCACACACACTAACAGTTCTACCCTGCAGTTAAACTACAAGGGACTCAGAATCTTTTAATAGTCATCCAATATAGAATAATTGAGCACCCCAGTATGCGCCAGGCACAGGGCATATAACAAAATAATATACAGTCTCTTCCCTGCTGGAACTCACAATTGCGTGGGAGAGAAAATATAAATAGATACACTCATTTATAATTTAAAACAGTGACAGTGCTTTGAAGGAAATAAGGTTTTATGAAAAAGAACATAGCAGTGAGTGTGATTTAGGTCCTGTGTCAGGAGAGAATGCTTGAAAGAATGACAACAGAACAGGAAAGGAGCATCCATACTTCAAAAGTACCAGTGTCTGAAAGCCTCAAGCCGGTCAGCCAGTGGGGTCTCAACGAAGCACCTACTGTGTGCCAGAAACTCTGACAGTGCTGTATCTAGCAGGGAACAAGACAGAATTTCTACTTATAAAGATGTAGAAGAAAAGTAAGACAAAAAATAAATATCAGTCCTAACAATGGCCACAGAGAGGACAGTGTGAAGATACTGCAGAGGGTCACGCGGAATGGAAAGTGTACTATATGACACGGGCACTGTGGAGGCCTTGCTGAAGGGAGGCTGCAGAGGCCTGAGTGCTGAGGAAGAGGCCGCTGTGAGGTTTCTACCTGGTTTCCCTCCCGTAACACCCACTGGATGAAGAGGAGCACCTGACTCTGAGCCGCTGATCTAACAGCCATCTGCCTTACAAGTCTCATGGCCTACTCTGTCCTCAAGTGTTTCTTAAATCCCATTCCCCTAAACCAACTAATGCATTCATGCTCTGTTCCCTTCGCTGATAATACACATGAAATCTCTCCAGTAAGTCCTGAGTAGGATCCCACCCCATACACAGGCTTTCTTTCATAATCTCTGGCTGAAGAAACCCCTCTTTTTTGGAACACCTATATCACTGAGCATCTTTATTAGGACACTTCTGACCCACTGCCTTGTGTTCCCATTATCTGTACAAGCTTAATGGCTTAATCTTGGTTTAAGTTTGAGGGCTGTGTAGTACCCTCTACCCTCGAATGTAGTATTTAAGAGAAATGATTGGGATGAAAGCACAGGCTCCCTCCTTTACCACATGTGACCTTGGACACTTGCTCTCTTTGCCCTGATTATTTTCCTCTGTAAAATAGAGACAAGAAAAACAAATTGCTGTCTTCAAAAAGAATCTAGGATTGTTGGGTGGAATAAACAGTAATCCCATGCACTGTTTACTTCAGTGCCCATCCCATGTAAGTGCTCACTGGGTGCTGGCTCTTACTACAAGTGCACATACCAAGAACTCAGGAAGTGCAGGCTGTAATTATCTCCTTTCTGTTGAAAAGTACTCTGTTAGCAATGTACTTTATGCACAAAGAATATTAACCAGTGCTTGAGGAATGAAGGAGGTGGGAACAAACCAGCAGCCTTTGGAGCCTGTGAAGAGAATGACCTGCCGGTGGCAGAGCACTATTTTAGGATGTAGTAGGAGCTAAGTTTAGATTTTAAAAGGGGGCTAATTTACAGATGGATTTGATGCCTTTAGATGACTTTGAATATAATGAAGGAGGAAAAAGAGACCCATTTTTGCTGAAGCATAACCTATGGAATCCCCAAAGATCTGCAAACGTTCAATGGTATTTCCTGGTTTACTCTTATAACTCTCCAACAAAGAGCACAAAAGGGGAACCAACGTGAAGAGGGGCTGTGCCTCCGCCCCTCGACACACATTACCTCTCCGTCTTTAGTGAGTGATGAACTGATTGCTGATGCTACCTCCAAATACCACCTCTGATTCTCAGGCTTTCAGAATGAATCACACCACCAGATTTCTTGTTGTACAATAAATCTCCTCACACACACACATATACACACAAACACAAATATCCCATTGGCTTTGTTTCTGTGGAGTGAGGAAGAGCTAAGATATGGAGAGACCGACCTACAAAGGTACACACTAAGTCCTGCAATTTGTTATTAATAAGAAATAACTGAGCCCTGAGGTTAAATCTAGGGCTTGGGTCTTAAATCCAACTCCACTACTTATAATTTATGTTGGGTAAACTATTTAACCTCCCTAAATCTCAATGTCATTATCTGTAAGTTAACAGAGTTGATGCATTTATAGTCCTTAGACCAAGCCTGGGGCATTTTTGGGGCTCAGTAAATAGCAGTTTTGACAATTGAGATGGTGATGATGGCAGGAGTAGATGCAATTTTCTGAATGTCTGCCTACAGGCCAGGTACTGGGCTGACCACTTTATCTGTAGCATTCATCTTCACAGCAATCCCAAGAAGTAGGAATAACTCCCTTGCTCACTCATTCAGAATGACTAGATCTTCTAGTCCACCAACTAGGAAGGGGTTGAGTTGACTCTCTGATTTTCTGGTTTGTTAAACCAATGGTTCATCACTATGGCTCTGCCAAATCTTGGGGTGTATGTGGAGCCCACTGCGGATTCAAATCAAGCAGAGTAGCCCCGCATCTGTCTGCATTATATGTTGGCCATTAGCAGCAGAGATTTTCTTTCTCTTTTTTTGGCCAGAGCTGTGTTTGAACCCGCCTCCTCTAGCATATGGGGCTGGCGTTCTACTCCTTTGAGCCACAGGCACTGCCCAGCAGAGATTTTTCTTTTTTTTTAAAAAAAAATCTCATTGCTATCGTTAGGCTTGAAAACCACTGCACTGTGCATCACATCTGACTCTTACAGTCAGATATAGTTTCTGAGTCACTTTCATACAAAAATATGATTTTCACCACATACGAATTCTCCTAAACCTACCATTCAAGCGACTATTAGCTCACTACTGCTTGCCCCACAGCCAAGTTTAAGGGCAAGCGTCCCTCTGCAGTCTCTGAATGGTTGTCTGGGGAATCTTGCGGTTCTATCCCAAGTCCCTGTATTCTCTTTTTATTTCTTATATGTTGACCATATTCAAGTTGCCTATATTTAGGAAAACTCAGATCACATATTTGAAAACAGAATACTGTAGTAATAAATATTAGCAGAAAGTTAACATAGGAAACCTTTTTAATTATGAAAACAAACTCAGGGTCAGAATCATTTCATTTGAATGAAAAAGAAGAAAAAAGCAAAATCAACGCTACCTGATTAGCTTCAAATTTAGAAATTAACCAGGGATTAATTTGGCCTCTACAAAATCAAAGTGCAAGGGCCCTTTCTTATATCAATTTCATTCTATCCAGATTCCATTTCAGTATTCAAAGCCAAAACTTTGAATACAGAGGACTGATTCGAGAAATAACACTTGGAAACTCAAGTCACATCTTTTCCTTGGCTTCTTTATGCATAACTGAAGACCCAAGTGGCATCATGGAGACAAAAAGATGAAACTTTGAAGGTTGCACTGAACCACAGCATATGCATCAGCCATGTAGATTTGGGTGAAGAAATTCATTTTTTAGCCCACATAAAACATTGTTCACAAAAGCGTCCTGTTAGATTTTGTTTATTTGACAAAACATTCTCTTATACATAGATTTTTATCTGCAGAACCAGAGACTTTTTTCTTCTTCAAAAGGAAATAATTCTGCTAAAGATGAAAAAAAAATAAAATTAAAAGACAGTTTCTAATGACATGAGAATCCGGTCTATTGTAATTATTTCTTCCTTTGTTGAAAAAGTAATTAGTTTCCATGGTGTAACATAAGTCAAATAAAATAGAACATTTTTAGAGAAGGTAAAGATAAAAGAAGTTTCCCTTTGAGAAGAAAGTTTCAGAGTATTTCTACATGGAATGGCAAGTTGCATATCGAATTTCCAATTGGAATATAGACAACAAAAAGCAGCTATGATTTGCAAGGATTATAGGTTATTAAAAATGCCGTCCAATTGCTTTTCTTGAAAACTGAAAGAACAGGAGAAGCCAAAATATGTATGGCACCTTTCTCTAACCAAAACTCAGCCTCCCATAGTTTAATTTCAAAACATTAACATACCAGAAGTTGATATTCCCTCTTGGAATCTTTTCCCAATTAAGTAAAGGAAGAACCCTCACATCAAGAAAGATTTCTTTTTTTTTTTTTAATAGTAGCCTTTTATTTTTCTTCACCTATTAGGCCATGAACTCGTAGAGAATATGTTAGCGTTATTGTAAACAAACAAGGGCAAGATTCTTACCAAGAGGATCAAGAATGATTTCAAATCACAAGAACTGAATTGAAACATTTTCCTTTTGTGAACTTTAAGAATTCATTACATCCGGTGCTGGCAATACCCTCTAGCACATAGAGCCAATCCTTCTCTTAATCATTCTCCAAGAAAATGGAAGTGAAAGAAACACTTTGTAAATGTACCAACACTTGCTTCATTCCCATGGTCACTCATTAATTGCTTATTTGCTAATGACAGCTCACCAGAGGATATCTATATTTTTCTTTTTAAAACAAAAAAGTTTGGGGATATTTTGTAACCGTATGGTTGGTAATATTTAAGAAATAAAATAGATGTCTAGCATTCTCTCCCTAAAAGCAAGTGTATGTGTACATTTGCTTTTAAGGAGAGATTGCTAGACATATTTATATATATATATGCTAGAATTCTTTATTTTTCAGAGTCCCCAGATAGTTGGCAATGACTCTTAGCTACAATTGGTGAAAAGGGTAGGGTAGCATGTACTTTCTCCATCTTAACCAGAACTGAAATTTATCAACTTAATTTGCTTTTAATAGTCTCTTATTATACTAAAAAAAATTGCTAACACTTGCTTAACATGTACTAAATACTGCATGAAGCCCTTTATATGCGTGATTTACTTACCACATTTGGGAAAGTTTCAATCATTATTTCTTCAAATATATTTCTGCATGAATTTCTTTGTCCTCTTTTTCTAGAACTAATATAAGAAATTCTGATATTATCCCACATTTTTTTCAGGCTTTGTTTTTTTTTTTTTTTTTCATCAGGTTTTTTTGTTTGTTTGTTTTAGAACAACACACATTTGAAGTAAAATTTTGTTCCCATGTTAAAAATGAGAAAACAGAGGCTTATAGGGATTAAGAGAATTGCTCACACAACTAGAAAACCAGGTATGATCCCAAGTTGGTCTGGCTCCAGAATCAAACCTCACATCATTGTACAATACAGGTATGAGAGGCTCTGTCAAGCAACCAGGGTTGGGCCAGAGCTACAGACATTCTGAGTCCAGGTAAGGATCAGGCGGCAGCAGTCTTCTTTGAAACCTATGTTTTCCTAGCTTTCAGCATTGATTAGGTCAGGTTGAAAGATATACTTATGCACAAGGCAGGTTGAGTTTTAATAATGCTTTGTGTTAGTTACTGGGCAGGTGTTTGTTTAAAGGAAGTGGAAACAGGTGTGTGGGCCCTGATTCAATTACGTGATGGAGGGGGGACACACTGATCCATGGCCGTTTTCAAGGAGAGAGGCTGATTGTGCTAATTAATCATTTGTCTGTCAGAATAAAATAGAACATAATAGAAAATGATGTTCCAGTTGCCACAGGTATGGAATACAGACTCATGTATCCAGCTCTCTCAGCAACCAGACCCAACTGTTTATGATGACAATAATTAAGATGCAGTCTCTGACTCTCCTGGGTTACCATGTCTGGGTTGATTAGAAGGAAAGGTGTTTTATAAACTTTTGCCAACAGCTCGGGACCTCATCCAACAGGAGTAGCCTCTCAAAGGAACCTTTCCCTTCAAAGAGATTAATTAAGTCTTTTTCGGTCAAGGGGAGATCCCTGAGCATGGCTGGACGTGGCATTTTCCACTCTGCGTCTTGATACACTCGATTTACCTTACCTGACCAAGATGTTTATGCTCACAGTGGAGTAGCATAATAATATTGAATTCACGCTTTCATTTATCCACTTGCCACTCAATAGCCAGAGTGACCTTTTAAAAACATCAGGTACATCATCCACCTGTTTAAGAATCCCCAGTGGATTTTCAGTACTTAAATTAAATCCCACTCCTTACCGAGATTTGCAAAGATCTACGTGAATCTGGCCTTGTACAGCTCTCTGACTTCATTCCATACCACCCTCTGCCTCTCTCACTGTGATGCACCTTTCTGGGTCTTCTTGCTGTTTCCTGAACACTTTAAGCTCATTCTCATCTCAGGGGCTTTTCTCTTGCTGTTCCCTCTTTGCATTTGCTTTTCTCCTTTCCCTAGATATTAGTATGGATGTATTTTAACTGTTGCCTCTTCAAAAAGACTTCCTCAGCAATTCTATCCAAAATAATAAGGTTTCTTCCTACATACTTCTTTGCACATGCTTTATCCATTTAACCCATTTTTTCTGAATTTTTATTTCTTTGTTTAGCAGCTGTCTGAGATTTGGAAGGACCAAATGATCAAACCATATCAGTTGGAGTGTCATGTACCTGACTTTAATGTGTATAATTCACCTCCAAACCACCCCACCCCCAACCCCACGTTCTAGGCCCCCTGATTGCTACACCAGCACATGGGACTCACTGAAAACCTCCTCCAACTCATTGCAATGCTGCCTCTTCTCAAGGGCTTTCTTTAAAGCAGAATTTAGTATGTACAGACCCCATGCCTATCTGAGTTTTTCAGATTTTAGTCACGCGTCTAGGATAGTGATTGTCAAATGTGACAGCAAAATAATCTGAGAAGTGTTAAAAGTTACCAAGGCCTAAAAATCACACCAAAAATTTTATATAATTGGCTTAGGGTGGGGCTTGGGCATTGGCATTTTATAAAAGTGCTCCAATAATTTTAATATGTGCAAAAAACTGGGAACCACTGGTCTAAGTAACCTATAAGGAATTATATCCACAAGGAAATAATTTAAAACTGTAAGGAGAACTTTTAATTTTTTTCAAGAAATCACACTTCAAGTGTTGATACCCCCATAAGCCAACCTCTCTATCCAACTCCGCATTATTCTACGTTGATGTGCACTTTGGGTCATCCAAACCTTCACACCTCTGCTCCACTTTGGGGGATAGAACAGAGACTGGGAAATGCAAAACAACCTACTTCTCAGACTGAAATTTATTTTCTCCTGAAATGTCCATATTTAAAAAAACCTTGGCTGCATTAGATATTAATTTTTGAGAAATTTCTATCCTCATAAGATGTAAAAAGCTGGAAAGAGCTTAACAACTCTTAACAACAAAGAAAAGCCAGAAAGAAAGTCATGATTTTTATAAGCCTTTCAAAGATCTAAGTTCACAGGGCAACAAGTAACTTTAAATTCAAGGGAAGACAATCCTCCCACCTCTTCCCAAGAGAGACAGCAATGTCTCACTCATGGTACAGGTTAGGTGTAAAATGTTTTATAAGGATACTAATTTTATAACTTGGCTGTCAAAAACTTTTTTAAAATCCTAGGAGAATAATTACCAATAAATATACCTCATGGCATTTTCATTAGATAAAGAGAATAATGACAAAATGGGGCATGTCCTGGTAATGACAAGTTGGTAAAATAAAAATAAATTAATATAATCATTAATAGACTGAAGGAAAATTATAATCATCTTGACAGATTTAGAAAACACATTTGATAAAATTTTATCCTCTCACAATAAAATCCCTAAGAAATTAAGAGAAAATTTCACAAAGTGACAAAGGACTTCTACAAAATTCTACAGCTAATATCTTACTTAATGGTAAAAGGCTTGATATTTGCCTCCTAAGAGCAGGAACATGGAAAGGATGCCTACTTTCACCATTTTTATCCAATAGTTTACTGTACATACTACACAGTGAAGAAAAACAAAAAAAAAGTAGATTAAAGGCATGTAGATGGTAAAGAGATAAAACTTTATATATGAAGATGACATTTTTGTGACTATAGAAAATTCCAAAGGATCTACAAAGGAGCTACTAAAACAATAAGTGAGTTTAACAGAATTGCAGGATACTAGGTCAGTGTATAAAACTATATTTTTGCTTGCTTCCAATGAATAAAAGTATAGCAAAAATAAAAACAATTATATATAAATCTAAGACAACATCTGTAAGAGTCCTTACTGAAAACTACAAAATATTAATTATGGGAGTTGAAGAACATTCTTCTTAGTAAAGTATCACAAGAATGGTAAAACATGAATCCAATGTACTTGATACTAATATGAAACCAATGTACTTGATACTAATATGAAACTAATATGGTGTGGGTGTGATGAACAAATACACGCCCACACAAGAGAAAAATATAATTAAACTCAAGTGGAGTTTAATAAGCCATCTACTACAGAGAACTACACCTATAAAGCATTAATGGATTTAATAGAAAAGGTTTTAAAATATGGGTGATAAAGACAATAAAAGGAATGGACAAGAAAATGGAAAGACAGAACCAAAAGATGGATTAGAGATGTGTAGAATATACAAAGGATATGGTGGAGCTTCAGGAAATGAAGGAGACAATTGGCAAATGTAAAAATGCAGTAGAAAGTATCAAAAATAGATTAGACCAGGGAGAAGAAAGAACCTAAAGGGTTAGACAATAAAGTTCTTGAGTTAACCCGGGTAGTTAAAGAGGCAGAAAACAAGAGAGAAAAAGCAGAACAGTTGCTCAGAGAACTATGAGACTTCACATGTGAAGCATTCACCCATACAAATAATAGGGATCC